TCAAATTTCAAACTGCTATGTCGGGTTCGTTGTGCGCAAAGAGGAGCATCTCCTCCGCAATGAATACTGACTGCACCAACTTAACTATCTGAAGTGTCGCTTCTGGAATTTCAGCACTTTCAATCTCAGCTGGTTGGTCATGTGCGGCGCGCCTCCTTTACTTTGCGACGAAATAAGATTTGGATCACAAGAAGGTAAGGAAATATTTGTGCAGGAAAGTCCGTGTCAGGCAAACCCTAAATTTGTTAATCCAATACTCCTCTAAAGTGACCAATAAAACATGACCAACCTATGGTCGTAACCCTTCAGGATGTAATTCACCCAGATTCTCCGGATTCATAGGCCATAACGAATGGGGCTGAAGGAGAAATTGTGGCTCATGTAAGCATTGGTTTATTTCCTTTTTGAGTGGCATCGTGAGTCCGCATGAGTTCATATCAGCCGGGTTTTGCTTCGAATTTATGTAGAGCCAATGACTGGAGTGAGAGTAGGCTTGTATAATGGGCATTCGGTTAACAACGTAGATCGAGAAACGACCAGTAAAACTTCGAAGAAGCTTCAGAACTGCCATCGAGTCTGCCCAGAATGTTGTGCTACAATGGAGTGACATCTGCACTCTGACTTTCGCCGAAATGTACACGCTCAGTACGGCAGCAGTGAGCTCCAACCTTAGTATCGGCAAGGTTCTAATGGGACAGACACGTGATTTACTAATAATCAAGAAACGAGTAGCATTGCCTACATCACTCTCACAACTCAAATATAGAGCAGCACCGTAACCAGCCTAAGACGCGTCTGAAAAATAATGCAACTGCACAGAGGATACACTGCATCCGAATGGACTAATACAACGTTTAAAGGACAAGCTGTACAGGCCATTTTCGTTTGGTAAACATTTGTCCCAAGTGGGATAATCCTCTGCGGGAAGAGGTGCATCCCAATGCAGATTCCTTTTTACGAAACTCTGTAACAGTACCTTTGTCGGAAGCAGTCCGAAAGCAATGAGGCCGAGAGAATTATAGACCGAAGCTACAAACAAGAGGATGGCTCTTCGGAACGTTTTATTAAAACTTTCCAGCTTAAAAGTTAGGAGGCCCTGGGTGGCGTTCCAGTTTATATCAAGCACATTAGTAACACAATCATCCTCGGTCCAATATCGAATTCCCGGAACCTTCAGTTCACTGTAAGTTAAATGCGTGACAACCCCCTTACGATTATTGATCCATTTCGTTAAATGAAATCTGTTCTGACAGAATACTTGTAAGGTGTTTAATGAGTTCAGTTGCTTTGTGAACAGAATCGACACAAAATAAATCATCACGGACTGGCAACATTCGAGTTGCGGGTTCGAGCCCTACCAAGGGTCCGATGGAATGCGCACTGCTGACGATTCCCGAAAGGACGAAACGCGCATACAGTGCTTTTCCGGGCGTATGATGACTGTCTGAGTGAGTCTAGATGTGACGAATTTCCACCTATAAATAAATAATCTTTAACTTAAAAACAGTTCCCTGCTACTTCTTCAACATTTGTTTGGGCCTCAAATTAGCTGTCAACGATAGCTTGTCGTAACGCAAAGTTAGCACACATTGATGAGAAAGTAGCGCCAAACGGATGTACCGTCATGCGAAATTCAATAGGGGTGAAGAAATATTGCCGTTCTTCCACCACAGGAACCTAACCAATTCCGAACTTAATAGGAACTTTGACCTGATGTAACATCGTCGGACGCGACGGCGATTAAGTGGAAAGTTAACCGCAAAAGCGTCCACACTATACTGTTTGACATATCGGGACCAAGTAGTAGTTGTTGATTCAGAGTAGTTCCCCGGTATGGAGCTTGACAATCGATGGTCGCCTTTTACCAGTTTTACGTGGACGCGACACTGAGTGGCGGGGTATGTAACAAGTTCCCCTTTAACCTGCTGTTCCAGTACTGGAGCGAGTTCAGCATGTCATTTAACTAAAAATTTTCCACTGCCTTGGTGTGTGCCTGGCGCAGTGCGGCAGGCACAATAAAACGTTTCTTCAACGTGGCAAGACTCATCAGTTCGAAGGGTCTGTTATTTGTTAACTGAAGTCTTCCGGCTTGCCATGGTAACGCAATCAGTTAGTGGGCGCCAAACTTTCTGTTAGATGCTTCCATTAATTTTAAAAAGCGTCCGTGATTCACAGGCATGGTTAGTTGTGGAATATCTAGTCCGTCAAATTCCTTTTCATACATTTGCTCTAGTAGTTGATGAAGGTCAACGGTATCGCAGCGAAGTCAGTTGATCATCCCTGTTCGATCAACTATCAGTGATGTGGATGTATACCTCATAGTCTCGTGACGTTTGTTCGGTCCCAGTACCATCCAGCCCAATGGAGTTTTAACAACATATGTATCATCAGGATCCCCACGTCTCTGATCTAATGCGCCGTGTAGGTATGGGTTATCGCTGCCAAGAAAAACTTCAATCCTTCCTTCTAGCTCCGGTAACCGTAGATCGGAGAGTTAAGACCATCTGTTGAAATCGTTGTTGCTGTTTCTCGTTCCAAGTTTTTCAGGGAGAGGACTGACTGACCTAATTTAATCCAATTGGACCGCCTCATAACCGTCTATAGTTTGGACAGTTGCACTAACCAACTGGAACTCCATTTGGCATCGGCCTGCAACGGTTCAATGTTAATTGTCGTCACGGACCCTTGAACCTTGATAAATTGTAGTAATGCTGCATCAATTAGTGAAGTATTTGATCCATTGTCTAATAAGACTAATGTTCGAATGTTGCCAGTAGGACCAGAAACAAGGACAAACAACAAACCAAACGATACAACAGAACGTTCGACGTGACTGAGAGCAAAACTGAATCGTTTAGTGTTTGGTGTTCCGAAGTTGCGTCGATCAGCGTGGAGTAGCGGGTGGTGCAAGAGCATGCAATTATTCGACGCACAACACCTTCGTGATCGACAACTTGGTAGGTCATGATTCGGTTTGAGACAGAGCTGACACAGTCTGTGAGCGCAACAGAATTCCAGACGTTTTTGGTGGTTGGGCGTTCGGAAATCATCGCACTGATCTAAATAGTGACGTTGTTCACAGGAAACACATTTGGGGAAATTTCGTTCTGATGAAGCCGCAGTGTTTGGCACGCGGCATATCCCCAAAAGTTTAAGCTTCTGCCTCTATCGGTGATGGACGGTGGTCCGCAGGGACGTGTGGCAAAGGACAAGTAAGTATCGACGACGTCTGTGGCTTCATCCACGAAATCTGTCAAATCAATGCAGTTCGGTTCTCTTTCGGTGCGGATAACGCTGGCTGCATGCTCTGCTCACTTGAATTGCGGATTGTTGGGCAGCCTTTTGATGATAGAGCTGATCGTTATCGACGCGTTCAAATATGATTCATATCTTAATTGTTTCAACGCCAAGTAGCATGGACCCAGCTTTACAGCTAAACGATAAAGGGTTGCGAAAGCATTGGGACTGATGTTAAAGCCATCAGTTAGAGCATTAATGTTAGTCCTAGCAACCATGTGTTTCCGTCCGAAACGTATGCGCAGTGTTCATTGCTTCTTTAAAACTTTCGCCAGGATCGAGTATTAATCAAATTTCGATATCTTCTTTTGCTTCACCACAACAATATTTTATCAGATATGAAAACCTGATAGTTGGATCGGAAGAAGTTCTGGAAACATTAGCTTCGAAGCATCGCAAAAAATATCAAATAGCGGGCAGGAACTCCATCGAATATGATCGGTTAGCGCTTTGGAAGGCAAGATGATGTGCTGGGTCCTAAAGCGCCAGATTTGCGTTCCGGACGCGCGTTACTATCAGCTTGCAGACCGGAGCAAGTGCCCGTGTCTAGGATCGAACCTGGGCACCAACTGCTACCGACGGACAAACGAATTGAGCTACGGATGATACTGGCGGACCCCTATTAAGTGGCTTCATAAAAGGCGAGCAGACAGCAACTTGGGACGGGAGTTCACAAGCGCCGGCCGGAATAAATCCCGATCGTTCACTTATCAGCGCATGCGACTCAAATACAGGTTCGCAGTAGTCCTTAACATCAACAATCTTCGCTTGCAGCATGCGCATGCTCGTTAAGACCGACTCCAGCAGACAAATATGGGATTCGGCTCTGTGAAAATTCTCAGGATCAGTAGCGTCAATAACATCAAGCGAATCAGCAGCAATGGGCATAACTGCAATATTCAACTTATGTGCCAACGCTACGAAGCCTAAACTAAATGCGTCGTAAAAAACCTAAACTAGAAACTACGAATCAATTAACCTAGACTTAACGCACGGTCTGGGCAGAAGAACAAAACGAATAATCCTGTTACCGTGGTTCTATACGGCAACTTAAATATAGTATATGATTTACGAATAGATTTTGCAATCGTAGTCCAAGAGGCCAGAAATTGTAAAGTGTGCGGAATCGTGCGGAAATTTGGGTAGTGTCACAGTTACACAACAATATGTATAACCTTAAAACTTTAAGAGTACGTCAGTGATCGAGAATGAAATGAACAGATGTTCAATATGGTAACCGCTTGTAGTACACAGTGAATGTAATGTAAAACGGGCGGAATAATTAGGGAATAGAGATCTCGTGTTCTCAAGTAAGTGAGCCACTTTGGAGAATACATGAAGTTTCTTTTTGGACTTTACACCACGCATGCAGTTGAAAAGGAGCTGCTGGCTTGTTGACAATAAAAGTGTTCGCAGTACGCCATTTGACAGTACCGAGGCCTTACCGCAACGCAAGCACCATCGGTTGCACCTGGGCTAAGGATACTGAGAAGTTTGCCCGGCACTCCATGTAGGCTCGAACACGCACTCTGGAATCCAAGGCAGACTTGCCATACTTTAGGCCACTTGCCTGCCAATAAACGTACCGTCTGCCTTCTTCAACCACGTATATAATGTCAGACCACAAACAGGTCTTGTATGATGCAAACCATACCAATTAATTATAATTAATGTGATTGGTGTCACACTGAAAATGTACTTGCCTGTTTAAATATTTCATCGTGTTCACGACGGCGCCTTTCTTCTCGCTGCCGTTTGCCACTTTCCTCCGCTTCTCTCATCCTTCGATGTCGTTCGGCAAGGAGAATAAGTGCGTGCAAACGACGTTCCTCGATCAATCTATCGAGTTCTTTGCTGAGGAAATCGAGCATCTCGGCCAAAGTTCCACATGCAAGACGACTGAGCACATCATCCACTTGGTTATCCTAATATGTAATGGGGAGATAAAACCGAATAGAGATCGTCTCACATAACGGTGTAAGGATAAAATGCGATCAATAGTATTGCTACTATGTACCTTGGTATGGCGGGTTAACTTAGACGGATTTTGTGCAGTTTCCTTCGCTGACAATATGTCAAGTGACCTATAAACTATTGAGAGGTTAGTGTTCATGGAGGCACAGAAGCAACTCCGTGTAATTCGTTCTCCCACCCCGGGTCAGACAAGCGACGTCAGCACAGGAGATGGTCATTCGCATTGGAACATCTAGTGGAAATCTTTAGACACAGTCAAAATTCTGGATCAGCTCATCAAACGATAGTTCCATGAACACGATTGGTATGCACGTGAGTTGTGTGTCTTCAGATCCAGCGTAATGATCAAAATGACTATTTTACTCCATTAATCTAGGGGTGATTACGTTGCAATCAGATGTTATAGCTGGTCCATAAACTTGTAAGCTTGAGCTCTGAAGTAGGTGTAGGTAGTTACTAGCATTCAGACAAATGGCTAATCGTCGATTGTAAGGTGCGTCAGTGGATAGTGGGCAGTGCCATGTCACCTAAATGTTGTCAGGCTGGTCGGCACCGTTCACCGTACTTCAGTAGTCTCAATTACAGAATAGTGACAGTCGAGTTGTGAGTTAGAGCCACAAGCAGCCAGACGATTTGCGCACTGCTGACGATCCCCGAAAACATTACACGATTGTGTGTGAGAAGGCTGTCTGGCTGCGTTTCTACCTATACCAGTCAAATACCCGTACCACTTCATTGAAATGGCATACCGACTGCGTTACGATTGCTTTGCTGGTAAGACTGTTCCACCATCTCCTCGATCAGTTATGCACGCGCAACACTGTACCACATTCCCTTGCGTATGCGATGCAGTACGTAGTGAGTACTTGGTGGCAATCCCCGACATATACAGCTTACTTGTTCCCTCTGGTTTTCTTCATAACAGTAATGGTCACTACGTTAAAACAAGGCAAAATTTAACAAAATGCGATGGTGAAAGCATGAAGCAATGGAAATATCATTTGCATACTTTGTGAACCAACTCTGAGTAGCGGTTTTGGGTGTCCAAAATAGAGAGCTTTTCTCGCAGTTTGTCTGCCTGCTCGTCTTCCAACAAAGCATGTGTGGAACGCAACTCCGCGATCAGTTCGCGACGCTTCTCCTTGCCTTCGTACATCTGTGTTTGTATGGCACGTCCACGAATCAACCGCTGAAGCATGACGGCGGCCACTTCGTTCTCTAAGGTGTAATCCTGAGCTCGAATAAATAGGTACAACAGTGAGGTGTTAAACGGATGTCGAATTCAGCTAAGGTTTATTTAACCCATGTTAAGGACACTACATTACGTTTAAGTTTTCTATTATTTATTTAACGCACAACATTGAGAATTTTATTGGTGGTAAAGAGTTCTTATTTTCTGGAGGTGGATTTTGGACTTCCCCCAAGGTTAACTTCATCTCTAAATGTCTATTGGATGCAAATGCTGGCCTTTTGGTCCAGTATTGCTCTATTGTCTTACGGATTTCAGCGCTCACCGTGGTGATTGGGTTTGACAGCTGTGCGCATCTAAACATTTCACATTCAATTAGACATTTCAAGGCTTTAGTAACGGCGCAGTTTTTGACACATGTGATCCTGTTACTATTCGTGTTGTTATTGTTCTCACTAACGGAGCGACTTGGGTAGGCATAGTAAAGACGCTTCTAGATGTATGGAACAAACTTACTTAACCGACAACAAATTGACTAGTGTATCTGTGCACCATGACGTGAATGTTGGGGTTAGCACTGTGCATTGCAAGTTGTAAGCGTACTTGACAGCCGAGTAGCCGAAGAAATGCAGCTAAATTTTGCATCCGACCGCAAAAGAAGATGCAGTAGGCCGGTAAGTCGTACCGAGGCTTTGCTGCCACGCAACCACCATTAGTCACGCGTCGGCGAAAGATGCTGAGAGAATAGTCCTGTCCTCTAAGTGGGCTCGAACCAGAGACCTCTACATTGCAATGCAGATTCAATGTCTTTCGGCCAGGGGCCGAAACATAAGGATATAATCGCGATACCAATTCTGGAGCCAGAAGTGCTCAACTGGTGGCTGTCTGATTTGGAGCGGGACACATCAGTAAACTGGGTTTCATCTGGCCGACAAAAGCAGTGGTGACTAAAATTCTCTTCTGGGTGTAGCATTTTTTGAATTACTGAATGGGTTGTGTCTCGTAATATAATCCAGACGGACTACAGAGTGCGGTAACCGTTTTTTGAATTTCAAATAAATCACAAGAGATAGCTTTGTCTTAAGTGCTTGGTAGTTTTCTTTAAATGACCCATGGTTTATTCAGTTTCTTTGGACCCAAGAGGACATTCTACAGGCCGTAATGTATAACTCAGTGAAAGTGAAAGTTGGGTATTACATAAAATTAGGTACTTAGGTTAAATGGCCAAATCTCTTTTTCAATACTTTATGATGATTCAATGATATTCCGGCGCCGCTAAAACGTTGTGCGAAACATCTAAAGACATTTGCATTCTACTATTTCGAGTAATCTGGAATCTAATGTAAAGATAAGCTTTAAATGGGACCAGACATATCTACATAGAAGCGACGCTGTTGCACCATGCGGTCATCGAATTGTAAAACAGTGGGTCCCCTTCAGCCATTTCGTCAGAGCAGTAAGAAGACATAAGTTGTGACTTGTCAACATTTTGATTGTTCACATCAGTCGCAAACACAATACAAGCGGGATTCAAAGACAGTTATATACAGGGAGAAACATTGGCACACCAATCAAAATGTCAAAATCAAGCGCACGGTAACCTAATCGGCTGTCTCAATAGTTCCTGTGCGCACAACGCAGCTTGATAAGTCCTAATTAGCAAAACCGCACTAATCGCCAAAATTTTCGCATTGTTGCTGCGTAATAACACCTTGAACGCAGTCTCCGGGTTCACCTGCTGTCGAGTTGCCAAGAGGTGCTTGGTGATAGATGGTGCTGGACTCCGGTACATCCTCGGATCCACTCCGTTTTGTTGCGTCATCAGTTATTCCAACCACCTTGACACATGTTCAGCTACCCTCCGAGCTACCTGACCGTCAGTCCTGCCTAAGTGAATGGCACCGCGACCGCAGTTGAACTGGTAAACGATGTGAGAGGCCGAACTGACTGTTGAAGGTCATGAAGAACAAGGCTTCGCGTTGTATGTATGAGCCGCAACTGGGCGGTCGCGTAGGTGCGCGTAAGGGCGGACCGAAGTTTGTGTCGGATATCATTTGATACATGGTCACCTTTTAACGGCAAGAACAAATAAACATTCTTTTTCTCTGCTGTTAACACCGGTATTTTCTCCTTGGGAAGCCTGCTGTAGATCTGAATGAACTTCTCAGGATATGCATTTGACAGCAATGTTTTGAAAAAAGTTCTTCTCCAGCTTGCAACATTTCGGGGTTATCGAATTGTTCCACAATGAACATGGTGGTCAATTGTGGAAAGTTTCAGATTATCTTTCTTCCAACACTGTACACCACGACAGAGCGGTATCGTCATTAGGTGGACAATTCCGATGGAAATAGACTGCGATGAGGGTGGAACCCGACACATAGGGGTTGATGGTTTATGTCTTGGTCATTAAACCAGAGCTCGGCCTACAGCGTATAACAACGCGGTTAGAGGTCCAATGAGATTTCATTTGCGATACGGACACACACTCTAAGACCTAGCAGTGATGATCCATTATGTTTTAATGTAGTCTGTAAGAAAGTGCTAACATATAGGTGTTACCTAGGAAAACAAAGGGGATTCAGTTCAAATCCCATGCGTTCCAGTAACTTTCAAGATTGAGGGGAACACACATAATCATACTCTAGCAGAAGTACATAAAAGATGGAACAAGCCATCAAGAGCAGGCCGTCACATTTGCACGTGAGAACTAGAGAAGCGCCAGCCAGAACAGTTACTATACCTTACTCTCCTGAGTATGTAGCCACAATTCTACGCAGCTGCTTTGCACTGTGCAGTAGACTACTATCAGCTTATCCATAGCGAGCGTTATTACACGCTAGGTTTGGGAAACGGGTTATCATCGATTTGCTGGAACAACCGTGAGTTTCTGACTCACGAAAGTTCCCGAAAGTCGAAATGCCCACCAATACACAAAAGAACTGGGTGATACTATCACGTTGTTAGATTCCATGAGCACGTCAAGCATCCATGCTAACCCTAAGGCAAATGGTTTGTAAGAGATAGCTTGGAAATTGGTGTAACACCTAATTTCTCTAAGCACATATTTAGGGTTAAGCTGCCCGCAATACGTCAACGCCATGCGGTCACAAACATACGGTTGTCTTCCGATGACAAGGCGGTATGTGCGAAGCAATTTCCTTGCGAATTCACCGATCCACACTATACTCAGTCTTGGCTTCTTCGAGCTTTACAATCGCAAATAAAGTGTGAGCAAACTCGAACCCTCCGCGGAATGAACTGAGCGACATACACTCAACCCAGAACCAGTTTCTCAGCAACATACGAAACCTGTCAGTGAGCCTGGTGGTTGCGGATGGGCCAATGCAATCTAACATGGGATCTGCTCATTAGCAACGAGATATTCCATCAGGAGGAACCCACTATTTGCTAAAAAGTAACTGCTCTCACATGTGAAAAGGTTGTATGACTAAACGAATCATGATTAAAAATATCTTTGACCTCATTGTTTCGCAGCTTCACGAAGAATACTATGGTCTTCACGATGTGTAAACGCGTTTCCCTAGTCGCACGCCTGTGCAAGTTGGTGTAGCTTTCAAGGCGGGTGAATTGGTCAGCTAGCTCTAGCCATACATTGCCAAGATTGAGAAACCATAACAAGGACACTTCACGTCGGATATACTGGGCGTATGTCAAAGGACGGTAAATCTATCCGGGATTGGATGTGCTGCCTTGGGATCGCTAAGCGGTAGCATGAAGTAGCTTACATAGTCCAAATCGACTGATTTCCCAACAGCAAGTATTTCAACGTCTGATACGCAAGGCTGTACAAGCGAACAGTTAAAGATGGAGTCTATAATGAAACTGGATAGAAATCAGAAAAGGGGAAATACTGTTGGACATCATGTTATTTTAAGATAGCAATATAAAACTGAACAACATTTAATGACTGTGAAATAGCGTAAGAATAATAAGTACCCAGGGTTTTAGGGAAGCAGTTGCAATTTCCAAAACGGCACATCCGGGCAAAATGAAACATACATCTGGGAAGCAACAGCCTGCAATATACTAATATCAGTAACTGGGTTATGTTATACAAGTTGCACTTAGGAAAGACTGTTAGTCTGAGCTGGGGTGGACCTCGAGGTATAGTGTTCAAAGGTTGACGCCCTGACCACTATGGCTCCTACGTCCGCGAGCAACGTTTGGCACAGCGGTAAAGTGTTCCTGTTAGTCTGTTATGAAATAGGTTATGACTCTGTTCTTAGTATTATAACTGAAGTCTCGGAAAGCTGGTCTGACAAGGAGTTCATTTAACTTCTTGCACTGTGGTGAAGATGCTCGGACAAATTCTCCCTCTCAGACACCGCCAACTACCAAGAATTGCACAAAATACACCAAGATGTTTAGAACAGTGAGAAATCGGGAAAGCCCAAAAATTTCGAAAAGTAGCCCTCAACCGCCGTAAAGACCGCCCTAAGTAAACACCATATGTGAAACGACGCCTGAAGACAACAGGTGGCCTACCAGCTCTAGAGGACAAATATATGCAGCCCCTAACATCCAGAACTTTGCATGCGTCTGCAATGGCGTCACACTTGCGTTCGGAATTTGCAAACGGCAAGTTGCCTGTACCGATTTCGACATGCACCGTGCTTGCCGAACTTGACTGTCTAGATATCAATTCTATCGTTAAGTAAAAGAGGCGTACAGCACCGTCCGTTTCTCAGATGGTTCACTAGTTTCTTGCTACTTACATGGTATAAAGTGGCGAATCACTAGTGCTTTAAACGTTCAGTCTGCTGCTTTGCGCTTTGATTTGTTGACATGAAAATTTAAAAATTTGGGTTTTTCTTTGGTAACCAGTGATCACGCTACAGTCAGTAGGCTGGCTCATGGGCCTGACCCCTGTTTATAGTGGAGTTGGAAATTTTCCTACCTGTGGCGCACTGAGCTGAGGGTCCAGCTGTCACTCAAGTGCACCGCTGCCCAGTGACTAAGTTATTAAGTCAATGGATTCACAATCGACCTAATCCGCATGGTAACAAGAGGATTACGACTTGAAGTAATAGTAGACTCGTTTTGCTTGTTATTAACTAGTTTGATTGAAACTGGTTGAAAAGTAGCAGATATACAGTTTGTTCGGTGCTGATGCTTCCCTCCCATAATTATGTTATTTGAATTTGAAAGTCAGATGTGATCCCATGGAAGTCTCGGCTTCGGTCCTATTTTTATTTTCGCTAACGCGAACCGCTGTAAATGGCATCAAGTTTCCCCTGCATTTATCGTTTTTCGTTGCTACAGGAAACTAGTGCCGTATGAAAAGTGATGCAAATGCAACTTTGAATAGCACCACAAATGAACTTTACACTCGCAGCCTCTCATCTGACCCGGAAAAGAAAGCGGAAAGGTGAATTTTTTACATGGGTGTAAAACAGTCACAAACGAACCCTTACAGCAGTGTATGTTTGTCATGTGGCATCCCATGCAACCATTTTAATCATGAAATCCAAAACACTCTGCTCCAGGAAGATCTTGGGTAGTGATTTGGTGTTGCATGAGAAGCTAACAGTTTTTTTCCTCATATCCTTTTAGAAGTGGCGGTGTAGTCGCAAAGTCCAGACGGTGTGCCGTAGTAAGATGCTTTTTGACACAGATATGACGCTGGCATTCTGCTACGTAATAAGACGTTGGGACATTAGGAACACTGTGATAGAATGTTGGAGCAATGCAAGTTACAAAAGCCTAACCGAAGACATCCGTTCATATATATTTTCGTTATAACCCCGCAAAATTAGCTGGCGGTTTAAATTACGTATTGTCGCCTCCAGTTAAAAACATTCCTGCTTCACCCTATGAACGGCGCATAGTAAAATCGGTGTTAATACGAGTTGAGAAGAGTGCATCAATACTTACCCCAGTGGGTGCAGCAATGCTTGGTGTAAGCGGTCGAGCTGCAGGTCTTTCGATTTTCTCCAAGTATCTCGGTTTCCTTGCCTGCCCAGAATCTGTGGTGAATGCCCCTTCTAGATACTAGAAGTAGAAGGGATGATGAAAAGCATTTTCTTTTGCCGCTGCCAGCAACAAAGTGTCTAAAGTCATTGTAAGACATCTGGTACGAGGTATTGACATTGCACTTGCGTTAATGCCGTAAATTCTTACTCGCCGTGGCTTCACGTTGCGCAATTATTTTTGCTGAACTCCTGATAGGTCAGTGTTTTTACTACTACAAGGACTGTCGAAAGTTATGATGGACGAAAAGTTTGTGAAATTTTGTACTTTCGCTGCGCTGTGCTCCACTTTACTGAGCATCCCTGCAACACTGACCTTACTTCAGCTATCAACGGGATGACTGCAACAAAATTGTCAACTTAATCGGACGGTCCAAGGACATTCTGGATAACGAATAAGCAACATTTGCTTCCATATTATTACTAATACCCTTAGTGTTGGCATAACAAGACTCATGACTTCGAGTCATATAATCGCCTTCCTTTCCTGCACATTCTCACCAGCCGAAGGGATAACGGGCTCGTTAGTCGGTGTGTATAGTGAAAACCAACATGGTCTGGACAATATCTGCACTTTACGAGTTGAACATCAATGGGTTACAAGCTTGCACAGGTAAAGACTCTGTTTTCCCTTACCAGGCAAATTTGTTCAAGCAATTATCTGGCTAACGGGATGGAGATTATTATGAGAACACTTATGGAATACGGCTTCACTAGATCTTTCACCAAGAAACACAGTCAGGTCAGGTAGCCGAAAGGAATGGTGTTGACAGGACCTAAGTAAAATGTTTGCATTGAACTTGCATTTAAGGGCAAAACTGCCACAGTAAGGACAACCAAGCGTTCATTCGCAAACATCCAGAGAACCTACTACGCCGCTGACGTGGTCGTAAGTATCAGAACCCAGGAGCGGTACTTACCTTCAGTCAAGGAAGCAGAACTCATCGGCGCCTAATCCCATTGCGTTTACCAATAGTTATGTGACTGCGGAGTCATTTACGCAGGCAGAACGGATAGAGACTTGAATTCCAGAGTGCAGAAACATCTAGTTAAGTTAGTTCAACGTGAGGTCAACCAACACACTCCAGTGCTCCGAGTTCACATAAGCCACAAGAGTCCTCAATAGGCACGCGCATTTGGGAGTATAATTGTCAGGTTAACCATGTCTCGGCTTTTCGGACTATATTGTGTCATCCTATTTCGCGGTTCTTGCGATTCGCCGAGACCGTGGTGATAAATCGAATGAGACCGGCCCCAATGTGTGCAAAATGGTTCTCACTCTACTGCTGCTGTGGTATTGGGGCTGTGGCCACCGTTCTGCCTGATGTACACGATTGTTCTGTTGTCACCCTTTGATTATCATTTCGAATAGTCAGCGGACACTTTTTTAATACGCTTTTGGCTATTTCCTGTTACAATAAGGATACTGACGAAATGATGCAAAATTTGCGCATCTACTATTGTTCTACTTCGTTCTGTATTATTTTAAGGGTTTGTTTGTCAAGTATGATATATATATATATATATATATATATACAGTCGATTCCGGTTAATCGGACCACATTGGGACCAGACCATTTTGGTCCTATTAAGCAACTGGTCCGATTAACCGAAGTTACCCGATGTAACAAGATGGGACGTGCTATACATAACACAGGAAACTACTATTATAACCTGTATTGGCGGCTTATATTTATAGCAAACACACAAAAAGAACTGCTTTGATAACGAACTTTGTTCACTGAAAAAGGAATTTACAAACAAATTATTCGTAACGTCCTACAAGATATTCAGCATGCGAAGTACAGTTTTATACAAAGGGATTACCGAATTCAATTCAGCGTTTGAAGACCGTATCCAGTGTGGTTTGACGCATTCTTTTAACAGACTGCATTCGCCCAAAATCACCACAAACGTGTAACGCAGTAATAGGACTACCTTTATTTCCTTCCTGCATGAAATAGCGGTGCAATGTTTCAATGCATTTCCTTGCATCCTGTTTTGTGACTGGCATCAACATGTTAGGGTTCTCTTCATCACTTCCATGGTCTTCTGTTGCTGTCGTGTGTTCCGCTGCTATTTGAGCAACAATGGTAGCATCGCATTCTTCATTTCCACCAAAGAGTTAAAGTTTGTTGTCGATTGACAAAAATTCTTCATAATTTTCAACTTGTTTCAGCTCCACATTCTCGCCGTCATTTTCATTTACAACCACCATATCCACATCCATCTCCGAGACAATATGCTTAAAGCCACAGTGAGAAAAACAGTTCCGAATTGTCGCACTGCTCATTTTTCGCTAAGTTTCGGCCACGAATGTAACGGCTTGCAAAATGTTGACCTTTGCACTGCTTTCTCCGGCCGTCGAGGATGAGGTCAGCAAGCCTTCCTCAGTTGATTCAAGGATGTAATTCACCAACCTTGAACGATAATAGGTCTACAAATTTTTTATGATGCCCAAGTCCATTGCCTGTATCAAAGATGTGGTCTTGGGAGGCAGAAATTCCATCTGGATATTCTTCAAGAAATCCAAATTTGAATGTGCTGCACAATTGTCGAGAAGTAATAACACTTCTCTCGACTGGCGTTGTAGCTCTGTGTCCCAATCATTCACCCATTCTTTAAAAAGTGTAGAGCTCATCCATGCATTTCTGTTCGCACAATACACAACTGATAAACTATCCATTCTGAGTCCCTTAAAGCAGCGAGACTTGGCACATTTTCCTATAACCAGCCAGTTCCTCTTGTCTGTTCCGGACCTGCTTGAGCAGCACAAGAGAGTTACGCGATCCATTGTCTTAATGGATCTACTAGGGTCGTAAAATTTTGCACATAACGCAGGTTGTAGAACACATTCCCAAAAATGACATCAACTCCGTCACTTTCTTGGGTGTTGGCGCTTCGGTGATGGCCCGCATGTCTTCGTCGCTTGTGCGAATGCTGCCACGCGATATACTGAGTCCCAGAAGTTGTATGGGGGCAGTGAATTGAATTCTTTTGCATTCAGACGCCAATTAATATCACTGCGACGACGATAGACATTTTGTATGCTTTCGTCATGCACTTCTTTTGAGTGGCCGAAAACAAGGATGGCATCCATATATGCAACCTCCCTTCAATATCTACAAGGCATGAGTCATGAACTTTTGTCATGTAGAGGGCGCAGAACACAAACCCATTGACAACACTTTGTACTGAAATAAGCTATCGGAAGTAAAGAACACAGTAACAGGCTTCGATTCGTTGGCCAATGGCATATGGAAGAATGCACTTTTCTAAACTAGGCTAGAACGAACGGTTGCATCAGCTAAACTTACAGCGAGTTCCTCGTTGGACGGGAGCGCGAATAGATCTACGATGATCTGCTTATTTAGCCCCTGCAAATCATTACATATCCTGACAGTGCCATCTTTTTTCAAGACACTTGCCATTGGATGCACCCACTTAGAGCAGTCAATATGTTCCATCAAATCACTTGATAGCATCTTTTACAGTGTCGCTAAGAAAGCTTGACGTTTTGCTAGTGGAATAGGCCGAGGTTGCAAATGGCAACAGGTTTTGCATCTTGTTTCAGATGAATGCGGTGCACAACACATGAAATACGTCCGACGCACTGCTAAAAAGCTTAAGATAACGTCTCTGCCAGTATGTCACGTTGACGGAAGAGGCAAGTATGCGATCGAAGATGGTACTACTTGCAAAGCCACCACGGCGTTTCTTCCAAGATGGGTCGCCTGTTGTCTGTAGAAATGTATGCTGCAACATCCGCAGTTACCGACTGCAGTAGTAAAGGCAGATAATGTATCCCAATATGGTTACGTTATTTCAACTCTAACTCTTAGATGAAAGCAAAGTGGGCAATTAAGTACGCTGGGATAAGTAACGTTCGTAAAATTGGTAAGGTAAAATGGTAACTGGGGAAGCAGAATCTAGTTCCATTTCAAGTGGAACAGCTCCTTTGATGGTAAGGAATGGCGCAGTACAAATACCAGCAGAGAGAATCTTTGGTAAATAACGAATATTGTTAGACCTTTTGCAGTGTTAGCATTGGCGGTGATGGAATAATTGTTCTACTGAGATGGATCCGAAACATGGCCTTCAGGTGTAGCGTTGTTGTTGATTAGTACGATGGTTTGGGACTGACAACATCGAGCGCAGTGCCCAATTCCACCACAGTTTTTGTACTACAATCTGCGTGCGGGAGAAGTGAGAATGCTGGGTTTATGAGAAGCACTTCACAGCTACAGCAAGAGGGATTCTCCACTGGTGGTTGTCGTAAAGATTGCAGCTTTGACACAGCTGTGTTGGTCGAACAGAGCTGTTTTGACTGCAGTGAAAATTCAATTTTCATTCCGGCCAACTCGCAAGCACGAGCCCACGTAAATTTGCAGTCCACTTCCTTCAACAGCGCTCCACGTATACGGTTGTCAGCGATTCTAGTGATTAGTGGCTGAGTCAGCATACTGCCTTCGATCTTTTTCCGGGGAATGAACGAATAAGCACACAGTCGTACTGCGCGACTCGACTGGGCAATGCAATTGTTCAAGGTTTCGCCTGTTTCCTGATGCATACTTGAGAAAATGTATTTTGCAGTACACATGCATTTGGTAACCAACGTAGGATCGAGAGCACTGAAAGCTTCTTTAACGGATTTACATCCTTGAAGGCCCAAATCATCAAACTGTAGTTGCCCCTCATATCCGAGTCAATTTCAAAGCAGCTTCAATCTGATTTCCTCACTAAGAGCAGAAGAGAAATCGCTAATTAAAGCCAGGTAGTTTTTGAAAGACTTTTGCTAACGGAGCATCTGAAATTGGTCTGTTACCGCAATAAGACCAAAATAGCGATGGGAGCTGATTTGAAGGGTTCATCTTTGGGCTCGCGACGCAAAAGAAAAATCAGTATGTGTATCGGTACTCAATTCATATGTACCACAGAGCTAACACACAGAGTAGTCTAGTTTAAGGATCCGGATTTTACACAGCCAATGCGAAGAGAGTTGTCGTGTTTCCGCCATGAGCCGTGATATGGTGATGAAGCGGCCACATGAATATCTTACAAACAAACTCGGATTTTACGCGGTCTATACTCCTCTACCAGTGCAGAGGATAGGTGCCTGCCTGCAGAGGTCCAGACCGTCAATAAACAGCATCCGTGTACCCGTAACTTTTTATGAACTTAAAGGCCATTTTTGATAACTATTGAGTTGGAGGATTTTAATGGAGGTTGTATTGCTTCGTTTCAGCAGCTCACAAGCGAACTAGTGTATGGAACAACCCGACAAAGCCCCGGCGGATCTCTTCGATCTATTTGGGCTAATCACTCAAGTTACACTTGATCAATCAGCGCGCTGAGTGAGCACCGATCCCGAATTATTCAATTCTTCTGTTCAAGTGGCCGTTGTTAAGTAACATGGCTGGTAGTTGAAGTGATCAACAAGTGTACAGTCATGAATTCCATGTGTCAGTATATGGAAAGAGACTCCTAGTGCAAGACAAAGTCTTCGTCCAACTTCAACCGCATACGTAACCTGGTCTGCAGGTATACTTGATCGCCAAGTTATATTACATCATTTTAAGTTGGAGCACATATTGTGGCGAAATCACGGTTTCTTATGATTAGTTGCCGATGATCCAGCTAGCATATCTCTATCTAGCTATCCCCATTCTATTCTGTCCTACCTTCTCTTATCTCTTTATCTATGCTCAACTGTCTGCTATTAACCTGGTAACGTGAGACGTGGCAATTCTTTAGCGTTTCTCTGAGTAAGCAACCAAAATAGTTGTCATCCATGTACGCAAAAGTTTTCACATCAGAACGTTACTAAATGTCCACTGCTTATTGACCTTAGTAGCTTTGAACCAAATCCAGGAACTCAACCCCCATTCCTGGTTCAGAAGTGCTCACATCTGCACCAGGCTTAAACATGTGCACACGGCACTCTATGCGAAGTATAAGGACTTTCGATATCAGACGTAAGAGTCACTCGGAAAACGCGGATTCTGCCGAAAGTTTTCATTCTGCTTCTCAGACCATCGGCGAGAGATCCACAACAATTCCAACATATTAAAGCTTCTTCCTTTTTGCTTGTTCTTTTATTGTCCCCTTTGCTTTACTGCAGTAAGTTGGGAAACATCTGGCCGATGTGTCAATACACCTTAGATGTTAAAGAATTTACATTCAGTAGATACTTGCCATCACCGCTTGATGAAAATCGTTTCAGACCACTGAAACATCCCAAATACCTGAGTGGCCAGAGCAGACAATTTCTGGATGAAAGTATTCCTCAATCATTACGGTCACCTCATTATGCATGCGTTAACTAAATGTTAGATTGCTGCGATTGTTAAACCTGACCATTTGGATACACGGGTTGCTTCTCTTCTTCTAACTATTCACAGGAGCTTTGAAAACTGATTGGTATGATGTCCAACCAAGAGCTGTGTAGCTTCTATCTTTACGGCAGCTGATAAAGGTTAGTACAAGGAATGGGAGCCAGTGGACTTAAGAGTTACAGGAGCTGTTTCAAAAGCCAATCGTAAGTGGACTCTGGTCAGTCCACTGTCCGGACACTAAGGCTTAACCACTCACGGCTAGAGATGTTGCTTAGTGCGAATCGAAATTAGATGTGATGAATGGCTTATGGTTGCATCTTATTCCATGGTCACCCATCAAGGAAATTTCCATGTACTGTGCCAGATGAGTTGTTCTATTACAAGTACGCTTTCTACCCACAGTTCCTTTCAAATGAAAATACGACCTCCGTTACAATGACAATCCAGCTAGATATGTAAGGAATATTTTAGGCTCTGTGTATGCCTTCAACATTCAGCGGTACAACGACCACTCACAGCCCCATGGTAGCGACTGCAGTGTTCTAACAAAATGGGTCACTCATTAAAAGCTGATCCAGTGTTCACTGTGTTGACTACATCTTAATCATCTTGGCTTTGCTTACAATACAGCTCTGTACATTCGTACGGTCTGGGCAGTAGCCCTCGACATGATACAGTGGGCAAAGTTTTCTCCCAGGTATAAGTGTAACTTTTCACTTACACCATCCTATGGTTATTGTGGGGTCTATGGGCGCATTCTTGTTGGCCCCTTATATCAGTGAAGCAAGAATGCAGCAAACGATATGAAAGGTTACAGCATTATGAAGGCAGGACATATGAACTATCCACTTAAAGTCTGAACAGTAACCATATGGAGTTAAACTTCAATTTTGACCCAACTAACGACCTACCTCTTGCAGTTGTGCCAGCTCATTTAGATGTCGGTATTCCCGTTTGAGAAATCCGTCGATGGTGTGCATTTGAACAGGTTTGATTTGCAACTTGGGTTGCAAGACATGCGGGGTGAGACTGGATTCCAATTCCAAAAGGCCTGGAGTGTAAGTAGATGAAAGAACACAAGGTAAGTTCCTACCTTTCTGTGTAGAGCGTTAGATATATGCCCATGGCGAAGTTGATCCAACCATTACTTCACAGTGCAAAATGTAAAAATTTAGGTGTTTTAGCGATTGAACAGGTGATGTACAGCGTCAAAGCTTCTATTCAGATACTGAGATAAGTCGAGGATGAGGGACCCTGAACAGCTGTTAGGACGTAAAACATTACTCCTCTTTAGAAGAGTAACAACACAATATAAAAAATATTAATTTGGTCTAGCCTTCTCTTTGAAAAGCTTTATTCACTAATTTAGCTTTTCTATCCAGTGGGACACGCCAAATAGCCATTAGTCAGCTATATCCGCACGCATATGCCCATTAAGTGGGAAAAGTTTGCCGATGCTTTAACGCTTGTAAGCCAACGAAATTAGGAAACTATCAAGTTCGTATGCATTTTGTATATCACATTAGCATATGCATATGACTGTTCCTCAACAAAACAGCAGCTTCTGCGATGGAAGCCGAGCTTTGTCAACGTAAAATTGCAAGCACTAACACTGCCCGAACCCTGGAAGCTAGGCTGCAAAATGTTACATGGGCAAACTCCGAATGAAAACAGGTTGATTCCTCCAACCAGAAACTATGAGACTCACTATCAAGCTAACATACTGACTTGATGTTTTATGCTAGGTGAAAGTAAGTTTTACACTAGTTAATCCTCGTGTCTGTAGAAGGAAACGAGTAGACGGAATGTCTATGTACCTATTGTACTGACTATTATTTACACTAGAGGGAGTCAAGAGCATCTGCAGCGCGTACAGTTCTGGTGATTGAAGGAATGGTAGACGGAATTCCAAACTGAACAAGGTGATTCATCTGCTTACCATAATTCATAGTTTTTATGTCAGCTGCTTCACATACGTCTTCTGTTAGACACGTGCACAACCTTTCAAATCAAGCCAAGTAAATTCCTTAGTAACTGAAACAACCACCATGTGGAACAAAATGTGTTTCGGAAGGCTCATTTGCAGCAAACATTTCGGCACTAATATTACAGGACGTGGTGTGTTTTCGGATGGTAAGCGTTGTCCCTGTAACAAGTCATAACTATCTGATAAAAACACTAGGAGGTGGCGGATGTGATTCATCACGAAAAGCACCATTGCTATTTGTCTTCCTTGGAGACACTATACACCGGCAAGCAACCCGAGCATCGGATTTCAGCTCTGATCTCGTGAGTGATGGCACTTGGATGGATTATCGTTAACCGAAAGGCTTATGAACTGAGTGACCCGTCACCGACTTCCAGTGTGCCAACCATTATCTCTCTATGCTGGCTGACAGGATAGACCCTTTGGTCAAACGCTCGGGGAGGCAGTCCCTTGAGACAACCTTCCTAATTCGGCCTATGAAGGCGGATAGTATCTCATTTACTGAGGAAACATGGAAAGGCACTTTTATGCCTGTATGATGCTTCACTCTGAAGATAGCACGACAACTTCATAGCCAAACGCCATGCAATTACGCACCGTCCCCTTTGTCATTCACCCCTTTTATCACATGGCGTTTTAATGGCGAACAAGTCTGCTTCCGCTGACGAATCTGTCTCCTTAATTTTTGCCAACTAAAATCCTTGTGCTTCACAGAGAACCACCAGGCACAATGTTTCTTATGATCATTTGGAAATCGGTTCAATATGTGCACTTTAATGTAGATTGGAAGCAGAATCGCACACCCCATGGAGGATTTTCCAAATCAAGTCTGCTGCCGGGCTGAGAAAGAATTTCATGATTCCAACACACACTATCGGTTGTCAATACCGATTCGCTCGCACACCCGTTTCCATCCTCTCCTTTCAAGCAAAACCATGTTTTCCACATCTGAATAGGCTGGGGTTGGAATCGCATGCGCTGCTAGTATCAAACCACCCTGGTTAAATGCATTCAAACCAACATTTGTCTTCGTGCTATGAGATTGGGTGGTTAGTGTAGTTTGACAGACGTCGACGGGACAAATGTGTTCCTTTTTATGCCATAAGCCTACGCGCCCACTGACTGCAGCTCGGATACAGTCGAAGATTAGTCAAGACTAGCTTCATGACTAACTCCTAAGGATGCTAAGGAAGGAAAGCTTTATTCGGAAGCATCTTTCAAGTTCCGTATAGTCCGTAGGCTGCGGCCATGTGAACGCCACACCGGGGACCGCATGATTAGGATCCTTGCTCTGACAAAGGAGGTGGATTCATAGGTATGTGAGTCAATAACCAGCTTTTCTTCCCCAACAAAAGCTTCCATCACCTTTGATGTCACTAAGCAACGGAGCATCCCCTATCATCCTCCTAACTATTAGTGGTAGATAGGGTGGCAGCATACTGGATTGCTATCATATTGGTCAAATGGAGTCGAAACCGATCGTGCGTTAGTGTGTGTTGCGGTTCGCATCGCCCATTTGGAAAGATGTAACATCATATCACCGTAGCAACACGGATTCCGTCAGTATCGGTCATGTACCGCCAAACTAATGGGTAAGCGTGGCAGCTGTAAAAAAAGCACCTGTTAGTGGGACCGACACCGATGTCGTCTAACTTAGCGGAATCAAAAATTTCCTTCTTCCGCGGCAGATTCACATTGGAAGTACATATATTTTAACAAAATAAGATGAACTGTGATGTTTTACATGGATAACTTTTGTTCTTGCTCTTCGTCAACGAACTGGTGCATGTCATCGAGTTGAATTTCCTGCTTGTTGACGATAAGATCAAGAGTTGGCGGGCGATCGGTTGCCAGGAAATCACGATCTGCAAAGAGTCGACATAACCCCACGTCTAGAAACCGCATCTACAAATACACTACCAACATCTAAGGCTCTCACTTGTCTATATACTAACGCTCGAAGTCTTGTCAGTAAGTTACCCGAGCTTTGTACACGTACCGCTTCAACTCCTTGAGATATCATCATGATAACTGAAATATGGATGGACGTTAAGATCACTGATATTGTGATAGCCCTGCCTGGCATGACTCATACAAAAAGCTCGCCCAGCAGTGGAGGCGGAGTTCTATCATATTACCGATCTGACCTGCATCTCGATATCATAGAGATGTCAGTTACACAAGCTGTCGTTCCGCTCTGGTAATGTAATGTGTGCTTACTTGTAATTATATACCACCCTCTAAGTTCCACCATAACAATTTATGACCGCCGGGTGTCTGAACTGAAGATCATTCTAACACCATGATACAGTCAGTTCCTTCTGGTGGGGGGTTTCAACCTGTACGTAATCAAAATCACAGCTTCTCTCTGCGAAAAATTCAAAACGGAATTACAGGAAATAATCACCGATATACCGCTCTGCCACTCCGTCACTGGCATCACGAGATACAAAACTGACGACAAGCCACATGTCTTGGACATTGTGTTCACCAACGAGTAGACATAAGTACACTGCTTGGCTGTAGTAAACACGCGACACTTCTCTTCCGCAACAACAGCTACGCGGAATGCATCTATCAAAACAGAGTGGTGGTTCACATCTTCACCCATTACGTGCACGTCTCACGTCGTTCAAGAAACTAACTGGTCTTTCTTGCTGAGCCGCCTCTAGCCATCCCCTGGAAGGAATTTGTCACCCTGTTCAGCGGACTAGAGGCAACAACGTTTGAAACCAATATCTTTTGGTTGAAGCAAACGAGTCCTTCGGCAGTAGTCGGGCAAGCAAATACATAAGCCTAAGGGATTCGGCTTTGCACACTTATAAAGCCTGCATGCATGCACAGGCTTGTGATGCATATATCACTCAGTGAAAACACTGTGACAAAGTAGTACGTAACTACAAACTTCGACACTAACAGGACTTAGCGGCGAAGTGTACTAAGAGGCTCTACAGGCACGTGAATAAAATCTAGCGAGTGGTGCGCGGTATCTCAATTCTAGCCGCGTTAGTTACTATGGCACTCATTAAAGTCGATACGGCGAACGCGCCTCGAGAACATTTTACCCGCTCTATCCATAATGAATCGTCCCCTCACTCGTTCATGGCACAACTCACTCCACCCACAGGATTAAGCCACTTATTGTTCACCGCCGTAAATTTGGTGCAAAGGTTATTGTCTCTGCGCGTACACACCTCTCTCGTTGTGGACAAGATCAGATAGAAGGCATCAAAAAGAGCCGTTGTGAATAACGCCAGATAGTTGGCCGGTTCCGAGCACGTGGAAACAGAACAGTAACTGCTATTTTCAAGGTTGGGGCTTGTGCGAAGCCATATAAAAACCTTCCAAGCCCCATACTCCCAGGGTAATCCAAAGTTTTGGAAGAAACCATCACAGTCATGGGATACCATGAGAAAAACAACATACTTGTGTCACAGCAGCATGAATTCCGACGAAATCACTCCTGCACAACAAACTTTCTACTAGTCCGAGCAAGCTGGACGAAGTCAGCCGGGGCCAAACAAGTTGTCGTCTTCTACGCGGACTCCTCTAAAGCATTCAACAGCTTAGACCATTGAATTTATCCTCACAAAATTCAAAGCCATGGAATGGTTGACCATATGCTAGGTTGTTTAAGCAGCTTTCTCATTCAAAATCAGCTGAATGTGAAAGTCAGCAGACCCATCTCAGACCCAATAGAACTTCACTTTGGTGTGCCTCAAGGGTCGGTATTGGAACCAAGTATGTTCCTATTATTCTGCAATCATCTCGCTAGGATGTTTCAGTCAAAAGTCTTACTATTGGTACTTATTGGTAGATGACATCATGACCTGGCATTGGGATCACGAAAATGGGCGACAATGCGATACCATAAACATCTCGACCGGGCCTACAGATGGTTTTCCGAAAAACGGATGCAGTGTAGCTTACCGAAATGCCATGCTTGTTTATCGGCTGGGAAAGCTGCAGCTGCAGCATGCTACGATGGAAATCGACCTCCGTGTTAATCGTGCAGGATGACCCCGGCTGCTCGAAACAGGCCGAGTAGGCAACGACCGTAGCCA